TTTTGCAAGATCTTTGTGATCGGACTTATGTGATTACCTTAAAAAGGGAGGAAAAACCACGAATTCTTTTCATCTGTAAGTTCTGGAAGTTCTTGTCTTTTGATGTGGTTTGGAAATACATTGTACATATGTTAACTCACGATTATTTGACTCTATGCCTGCTTTTTCTCAAGAAGCAATGTGTGCAGAGCTTTAATGTGTTTGATTTTCTAAAGGACGTCATCAGTGTGGTTCCTGCTTTAGGTGGTTTAGATGCTGCTGTTGAAGATACATCTGCTGCTAAAAGAAGGTTTGTGTTGCTATACTATAAGATTCTTGCTTTCTTATTTGTTATGATATTTGAAAATTGAGATTAAAATTGCTCGTATTTTTCTCGTATAGGAAAATCTTAGAAGATGAAGATGGAAATGACGATGAGTCAAAAAGGGCTAGAGCAGTAAGCTAATTTTCGATGACAATATATCTTGAATTTTGATAACCAATAGTATGGTTTGCTTCCCATTCAAAATTTGCAATTTTGAGAATATACCAAGATTTTATGTTTTATTCTTCAATTTGACCCTAACTATCCACTTCTAACCTTATATTGTTAACTTTTTATTTAGAGTTTGCACTAAGGAAAAGAATATTCAACACCGTTCATTTAGGTTCAGAGATGACTACAAAATTCTCTGGCAATAAAATAGAGATGATATCTTAGCTGGTTTGAAAAATATCAATTTTAATTTTCTGGTAGGGCATTTTAACTTTTGAGAAATTAATCACTTTCATTTTCAAATATGTTTTTACTTGTAACATTGGAACTTGGTAATTGTTTCTTGGAAACATAAAATTAATGCTTGTTCCTCTTGACGTCTTATTCCCTATCCAAAAAATTAAAATTAAATAAAAATGAAACAGAGTCTAAAATTAGGGGCGGCGAACTGGAACCATCTCTTGGGAAGTAGCAAGGGCAGATTAAGGAGTTATTAACAGTATTTGGAATTCATGTAAATACTTTTTGTTCTCTAAATTCATCCGCCGGTGTTTATCTCTTCGAGGAATTACCCTATTGTTCTTTTTAATTTCCAGAGAACGCATAGCTCAGAGGAGTCCTGCTTCAATACTCGTGGCTGTTCTTGATCTTCAAGATGGTTACACTTCAAAACAAGGTAATTTTCATTTCTTTCGTTTGTTTTTTGTTTACTTTAGATAAGTTATTAATCGTTTAGAATTTTTTACTTATTCTGATCCCTTTTTGTTCCTTTGGTAATGAATGACGATGGATAAAGAGTGAGAAAAAGAAGATTGGGCTTTCTTATGCAATAAAAATTAAATCATCACAGTTTATTGCTGCATTTACAGAGTTACAAAATCACCTGCAAGTATGCTTTTGAAAACGTATGGAAGGATGTTATTACAACTCTGTGTAATAGTCAACAACGTTGGTGTGTTTCTTGTTGTTATCGCTACATCTTCGATTGAATTGAGCCATCTATTCATTTTTCTTCTATCATATTGTTAATCCATATTGATCCACGAGGTTTTTATCAATTGCTTCTCTAAATTATGTCAACTGAAGGTGATGTGTTTTCCAGAATTACTTCAAGTGAAATTCATGATGTTGGTGTTCTTGAAGCTTCATTTCGACAACATTGGTTGATAACAAATTGGATAGTTCCTTTGAATTCAAAAAATATATGGAAGTTATTACTTGGATGTCTTAATTATTAAGTTGAGCACACTTAATGAATGTTAAATCTTGTTGCCATATTTAAATAAGCAGAATCTGTAAATTGATTGGTTGAAGTTGTCTGATATGCTTACTAACCATGTAATAAGAAGTTCGTCATCCAAGCTGGTGATGTTGATAGACTTGGAATCACTGAAGATTTGACCATAAGGGGAAAACATAATAATTAACTTGATACATGGTATGATTTACCTCAAATCTCCAAAAGTTCCTTTTTAAGTCGTTTAGTCTTTAAAGTGTCATCTCTACTGAAATGTACTGAATTAATAATTCCTACTCAGCTTGAAGCATGAAGCTTTTATGCTTGGTACTTCTAGCAAAATAGGATGGTAGTGGAAATCTTTCATTATAACAGCTCCAGTTGCAGATTTAAATGAGAAAATTAGTGTGTTTGGATGAGTCTTCAAGGGATAAGAAGTTGTACAAGTTAAACGTTTTAGCTTATTTAGTTATTTTCAATGTTATTAAGCATATTCTTTGTGATTTTCTTCATTAAGAGAACTGGATTAGGCCTCCTGCCCTGTAAATCACCATTTGTCCTTTTTTGGTCCTAGAATACTCTTAAGATTGAAATTAATACCCTTCAATATAAATGTGGACTCAGCTACATCAATCCTTTCAGCACTATTGTTATGCAACTTAATTCTTAATAACTCCAGGAGACAACAAGTTTTGTTCTGTGTTATAGATGACGTCCTATTTAGGTCTATGTAAAACATGCCCCAACTAAGATGTACTTTTGTTAATTTTTACTCTTAAGTGTTGGCTTGTAATCTTGTTTCTTATCTTATTCGATCACATACTCATTTCGATATCCTCATTTTTCGTAATATTTTTCTTTTGGTCATTAACAACCCCACTCTCAATATGATTTCCTTGTACTTTGTTTCTGGTTCTATATATTTTCTTGAGAACACATGGTGAATACAGTTTGGTTTCTTTGATATTGTCACACAGATGAAAAGGATTTAAGAAATAAGAAAGAAACGATAAATTATGTTCTTCCACAATAAAGATTGTCCAAATTTTCTATGATAGTTGAAAAGTTTAGGGATACTGAAAAACCTTTTTAAAATATATATCTACAATTTTTTTGCAAGTACTAATAATTTACCCAAAAATGAGTATATCAATGGATATTTGACATGTGTGCATGTGTTTGTGTATATCTACATATATGTATGTGTATGTATAATAATGTACATCTAAAACACGTCTTAGCATTCCAAGTGTTGGATTCTTGTATTTTTCTACACTTTTCAAGCGTTCTAAGCTTCGGGTCTCTGAAATTGTTCATTTGGTTCTTAAGTAGAAGGGTGTGATGACCTCCGTTAAGCCACAAAATTTTTTTAGTTCTTCTTGTTGAAAACTTATATCAGACTTTGTTTAGAGAGCTCTTTGTTTAAGCTCAAAGTAATTTGTTCTGTTAATCCTATCATTTTGAGTAGAAATTTAGCTGTTTTTGGATTCTATCTTTTGTCTGTACATGGTAAACCGCTTCCTTCGTTATTTGTTCAGGATCCTTCAGGATCTAATATTGCTCAAGTTTACTTGGATTAAGATTTTGTAAAAAAAATAAAATAATAATAATAATAAATAAATAAATAAATCTGTAAGAGTGGAAGAGCTGGCTCAAGTGAACTTACTTTGCATGACTAATTTTTTGATGGCATTGGGAAGGGCCTTGATCCTCAATTTGATATTACTGAAATTGCTAAACTGTACGTGTATTTTAAAACATCAAGGCATCCAATAAGTAAAGTTGAATTCCAATAATTTTTTATCTTTGTTTTGTTTACATTTTACAATGTAATGGAGGAAGTTTCATAAAGTTGGTATTGAAGTTATTCTAAAGGTAAATTTTCAAGACTTTTTAATGTCCTAATAGATTATTGCAAAATGTGAAATAAGCCTAGTTTAGAATCAGAATGATTGGAGGAGATTAGTGATTGATTCTATAATAATTGATGATTTGTTCACTCATAATTTAGATCATTTTCCTTAATCTGGATGTATATAAATACAGAAAGCAATAAGTAAAGAATCCTCAATTCACATAGGAATTCGTGCGTTTCAGTAATCTCATTTGTCTACATGGTACTTGAGACCAAGTTGGTTTACATATTTACATATTCATAGCGCAGATACTGCGCGTGCGCGTGCACACACACACACACATCAACACTTTAGGATCGAGACATGTTTTTTTACCTCTAGAGATACGATAACATCAATGTTGATAAGTGATGCAATTAACAGTAATTTGCAGTTCAATGTGAGATCATTGAAATTTTATGCATGTATCTTTCTTGATGGCATTGATTTCAGTTTGTCATGAAATATTTTTATTTTCATTTTCTATTGGGATGAAATGCGGCATCTAGGTTAACTGGTTAATTCCGATATTATGATATTAAATGGAGAAAAGCGAGCTTGTGTATCCACGTCATCTACTCATTTTTTCTCGTTGACATCCAATTCACTCTTCGGTGTATGATTAAAAAAAAAAAATCATTTTATTTCTTGTTTTCCTAACTTTACAAGGTAATAGATATCTTGATTGTTAAATTTTGAAACTACTATAAATGATAAGTAGGTTGATTATTTTTGGTTATCGATGGATAGGCGTTCAGTAAAGAAAAATGCTATAGCAACAAGCAAGAGCACAGAGGAGGAGGATAAACCTACTAAGGATCCTACAAGTCGAAGATGCCTCTTAATGCTTTCCTTCATTTTCAATTATGAAGTTCCCTCTCTTAAAAAAGAAACAAATTAATGTAAAAATGAGAATGAAAAATATAGCCGTTACGGACCTCACATAAGAGATACAAAGTCAAATATGATTACTTAACGTAATGGATAACGGTTATATTTTTCATTTTAATGGGAAACAAACAGGGGCAAAATAGATTAACAGTTTCCATATTTAATTTATTTTATTATTGCTCCCATCAGCTTTTGAAGGCATCAACATGTATATATATTAAACATTATGTCACCATGCTTTATTCTACATGGTTATTCGAAGTGTTTTAGTTTAATTTATCGTAACTACTTTTAATAAAGAACCAATAAACAGGGTTCAAGATAACTATCATTATTCATTTACATTAAACACGCTAATATTAGCTTCAAATCAACACCACCTGTGCATTACAAGGGCAAAGAATAGTATAATTCATAAAAGTTGGAAAGAAGCAAGCACTTCTTTGTTTTAAAAGTAATTTTTATTTAAAAATAACTAATTTTATTATAATTTTAAATTATAGAAATTAGTAGTCCCCCACACTGCTCTTCCGGCTCATCTGATGAGCGGACATGACCTGAAAGTTTTTCCGGTAGGCTGAACAAAGAAATCACGCTTACACGGCGGAGGAATGGCGGACTTGAAGGTGGAAACCATAGCAAAATTGGCTCAGTGGAGGATCGAAAATTTCGGGGCAGCCACCACTTACAAAAGATCTGACCCGTTCAAAATCGGCATATGGAATTGGTACGATCTTCACTTTATAAACGATCACATTTAGAGTATGCATATATGATTATACGTTTGACTGAATCGTGTTTATTGTACTTTTCATGATGACTTACTGATATGTTAGGCACCTATCAGTAGAGAAAATTCGATACATATACATTCGCCTTTTCCCAGAGTTGTCTAGAGTATCAAAAGAGCAGCCGCCGGTTGCGCGGTTCGTCCTACGTGTCACCACCTCCGGATCTAATCGCAGACCATATATATCTCCAAGTATTGATTTTATGCTTGATTTTTCTACTTTTGATTTCAGTTTTTAATTCTATTTGGATTACTGCAAATTCTGTTCAAATTGCTCGTCGTTGACATTTTTGAATTTTTACAATGATCTGATTGTTTCGATTGTTTTCTGTATAATTGTTTGATATACTTGTAAATACTAAATAGTAAGCAGCAAAGGAAAGCTTAAAAATTTTGCGATAATTCTAACGGTGAGGTATTGTACTCTTCCAATATTTGTGAAACATTGAAATAAATTAACGCATTTTAGCTTTGGAAATTCTTTTTCACCTATAAAGTGGAATAACAGTGGCATAATAATGAACATCGTAGAATTGCTATCCCATTTAGATATTAATGGTTTTCAAAATATATATAATTCGCTGAAAAATACTGGCACATTCAATTTGATTCAGGACGATGATAAATGTACCAGAAATGTGCTAATTTCTAAATTGTCTAGAAATACAAAAGTCAATAATTCCTACACGGAAAAGGATTAATTCTTTAGGAATTAAGAGAAAGACAATAACATCGAAGCTATTCTGTGTGCATCACTCATTTTATATACTTGATAATATTAAGTAGGGGGCACCAAAACTTAGTTACTGACATACCTGTTCCAGTTACATTTTAATTCTTTATTTTCATATTTTTGTTAAAGCAAGCATGTCATGTTCACATTTTTACCCATTCTTTAATTCTACACTAAAACCACATTTGGCATTTTGCCGGTTTTTGTGATAGGAATCCTGAACATTTTGTGGGGCCGTTGTAACAACTTGTTGATGGAAGCATATGTATTCCATGCATTCTTTGTGTAAACCATCCATAGTCTTTTCTGTTTTAAACACTTTTGTTGTTCAAGAAAGATGGTTTTCTTTGTTTCCAGAAAATTAATTCCTCTTGACATAAACTCATAGTCATCTCCTTAAGGATCGATTTTATGAAATACACGAAATGAATTAGAGTTTCAATAAGGATGACACTGTTTTTCAGGTTTTGATCAGGGTGTTCCATCTGTCTGTTTTAGGAAGTTAGTCCTTGTAGATCCTTGAAGCCTGATCAATGCTTCTATCGAATGAAAATATCAAACTATTTTTCCTATAAACTCATAAGCGCCCCATTCAACTTCTTAAGCTCCAACTCCAATGGCTGGAAAAGTCCGCTACAAGTTCACTAACCTTCATTGCTCTGAATGACCAGCGTTTTTCTCAGATTTGAAATTGTCACATTTGGAGAGATACGATGAACTTTCAATTCTGGGCTTTAAGTGGGTCCATAATACAACTATAGGCGATCTGCCAATTGATGCCCAGAATTCATCCAGCACAATTCACAAACTCATCAAATGGTAGACCATATTAGAAGAGGGAGGGGTAGACCAAAATGAACTTGACTGTGATAGCTGCTAAGGATCTAGTTGATTTAGGTCTTCCAAGTTGATCAAGTAATTAAATGAACAGAGTGGCTGAAAGGGATCCAAGTAGCTGACCCTAAAAGGCTTAGTTTTTTCTTCTTGTATTTGTGTGGAAGCATTTTTTGGTTGTGTGCTGGAAGAAAAATATATCGGGCACATATGATCGACTTGGTTGCAATAATCCATAATCAATTGACATGGCTTGTCAGGAAAAGGCAAAAAATGAAAAGCATAGCCATCGGTAATTGCAACTTTTAAGCTCAAACCTGGTTGTCTTTTGCAAGTATTCATGTTTAGTCTGCCGCTTCACTGTCTGACTCCATGAAACCTACATCATAATGCTATCTTGTCTTGTAAATTTTAACTGTGTGGATTAAATTGCTGCCCTTTGTGAAAATCATTTAATTGATTCCTGATACTTTATTCTGCAGTTCATGAAAGACTGCTTCGAACAAGTGATGACTTTGTCTGGCCTGTTGAAACTACCTTTCAAGGTCGTTTTATCATTGACGTCGAGTTTCTGGACCTTAAGATTGTTAAATGTGGCATTAATTTGTAATCTTAGGAAATAAATAAGGTTACATGCACTTGAAGAAAATGTATCAGGAAAATACATGATGCACTTGAAGAAAATATATCAGGAAAATACATGATGCAAATTCATGAATTATTATGTGTCCATTTATATTCCCATGTCTCTAGAGTTATCCATGTGGTCCTATAAATAGAGGTCATTCTTGTAGTCTCATTGTAAGGAAAAAAAAGAAGAAAACATTATTGAGTGTGCTGTAGCAACTCAAAAACTATCAATAAAAATTCAAGTTTTTCTTCAACACTTCGTTTCTGCACTAACAAATTTGGTATCAGAGCCATAACTTGTGATTGCATTTTTTCATGGCTTTCATACAAACAGCTTCGTTGTTTACATATTCTTCCAGTCAAGTCCCAATCTTCGAAGGCGAGCATTATGAATACTGGAGCATCCAAATGCAAACTTTCTTCATCTCCTTAGATCTTTGGGATGTCATTGACGATGAGGAGTACGAAGAACCATCCGAAGACAATGAAGATTACGAAAAATTGCAAAAAGAATTTAAAAGAAAAGATGCAATGGCTCTTCGCTATATTCAACAAGGAGTCGGGAAATCAATTTTCCCTCGTATCTTTGGTGTTAAAAAAGCCAAAGATGCTTGGGAAATATTGATGCAAGAATTTCAAGGAACGGAGAAAACGATCGCCTTGAAACTTCAATCCTTATGGAGAGACTTTGATAATCTCCAAATGGAAGAACGAGAATCGGTTCGTGTTTTTTCTTCACGAGTAGCCGAGACAGTAAATCAAATCAAAAGCTGTGGTGACACAATTACAGATAAAAGAGTCGTGGAGAAAATGTTAAGATGCCTTCCTCCAAAGTTTGACCATGTTGAAGCCGCAATTGAAGAATCGAAAGACTTGTCCAAAATGACCATTTATGAGTTAACCGGGTCACTTCTTGCCCATGAGCAAAGGATCAATCATTCGAGTAACCAATCTACTACCGAACAAGCTTTCCAATCAAAGCAAACATCAAAAAGAAGAAAATATTATTGAGTGTGCTGTAGCAACTCAAAAACTATCAATAAAAATTCAAGTTTTTCTTC